GCCTATCCGCGTATACGAGGTTTACTGTGAGGCTTCTGGGATAAAGGTACTGTAGGACTCCTGGGTACAGGTACTGTTAAGGCTCCTGGGCTACAGGTTAATGTAAGGCTAATGGGCTACAGGTATGTGAGGTCCTGGGCTACAGGGTACTGTTGAGGCCCCTGGCTACAGGTGCTGTGAGGCCCCTGGGATGCAGTACTGTGAGGCCCTGGGCTACAGGTTACTGTACAGCGTCTAGTGGCTACAGTATGTAAAGCCTCTAGGCTACTGGTACTGTAAGGCTCCTGGGACTCACAGGTACTGTTAAGGCCCTGGGCTAGCAGTACTGTGAGCTCCTGGGCTGCAGGTACTGTGAGGCCCCTGGGGTGAAAGGTCTGTGAGGCTCCTGGGCCTGCAGGTACTGTGAGGTTCTTCGGCTGGCGGGTACTGTCGAGGCCCTGGCCGCAGGTACTCATTGAGGCCTTTGGGCTGCAGGTACTGTGAGGCCTCCTGGGCTGCAGGTATGTTGAGGCCATGGGCCTACAGGTACTTCTGTGGCCTGGGATGAGGTACTGTGAGAGGCTATGTAGGGTCTGCAGGTACTGTGAGGCCCCCTGGGATACGGTACTGTGAGGCCCTGGTATAGGTACTGTGAGAGGCCTCCTGGGTGCAGGTGCTTGAGGGCACCCTGGAATACAGGTAACGTACGGTGAGGCCCCTGGGACTACAGTTATGTGAGGACCCATGGGCTGAGGTACTCGTGTCGGACCCTGGGTACATGTCACATGTGAGGCCCATGGGACTACTGGTACTGTGTGGTCCCTGGACTACAGGTACTGTGAGTCCCATGGGCTACAGGTACTGTGTCGGTCCATGGGCTACAGGTACTGTAGAGGCCCCTGTGCATGCACGGTAATGTGAGGCCCCTTGGGCTACAGTCTTACGGTCCCCCCCCGTGACGGCCCCTGGGCTGCCACGGTACTGTGTGGCCATGGGCTAAAGGTAATGTGAGGCCCTGGGTGCAGGGACTGTGAGGCCCTGGGCTACAGGTATGTGAGGCCCATGGGCCTACAGTTTACTGTGAGGCCCATGGACTACACCTTGTACGTGAGGCCCCTGGGCTACCAGTTACTGTGTGGCCCTGGGCTGCAGGTACTGTGAGGCCCCTGGGCTACAGGTACTGTGGGCCCCTGTCACTACAGTACTGTGAGGCCCCTGGGCTACAGTTACTGTGAGGCCCCCTGGGCTGCATGGTACTGTGAGGCCCATGGGATACAGGTACTGTGCGGCCCCTGGGCTAAAGGTATGCATGTGGTTCCCTGGGTCTCCATCCCCCCCGCTCCACTGTCGAGGCCCCTGGGCTCGCTCATCGCGGACTGTGTGGTCCCTGGCTAAAGGTATGTGAGGCCCCTGGACATACAGCGTACAGTGTTGTCCCTGGGCTACAGGTACTGTGTGGCCCCTGGGATACAGGTACTGTGAGGCCCCTGGGCTCGACAGGTTCTGTGTGTCCCTGGGCTACAGTTACTGTAGAGGCCCCTGGGCCTGAAAGGTACTGTGGTGGCCCCTGGGCTTACAGGTACTGTGAGGCCACTGGGTACAGGTACTGTGTCAGTCGGTCCCTGGCGCTACAGGTACTGTGAAGCCACTGGGTACAGGTACTGTGTTGGTTCCCTGGGCTAAAGGTACTTGAAGGCCCATGGGCTTACAGGTACTGTGTTGGTCCCAGGGTTACAGGTATGTTGAGGCCCCCTGGGCTACAGTACTGTGTGGCCTTGTTCTGGTGCGGCTGGGCTACACGGTTACTGTGGGCTCCTTGGGCTTCACGGGCACTCGTAGTGAGGCCCTGGGCTGCAGGTATTGTGAGGCCCTGGGCTACAGGTACTGTGATGGACCATGGCTACAGGTATGTGAGGGCCCCTGGGCTATAGGTATGTGAGGCCCTGGGCTACAGGTATGTGAGGCCCCTGGGCTACACGGGTAAGCTTCAGGTACTGTTGAGGCCCTTGCTACATGGTACTGTGAGGCCTGGGCTACAGGATACTGAGTGGGCCCCTGTCGGGCTACAGGTATTGTGAGCCCCGGGTACAGGTACTGTTGAGGCCATGGGATACAGGTTACTGTGAGGCCCCTGGGGCTACAGGTTACTGTGGAGGCCCCTGCGGCTACAGGTCTTGAGGCCCCCCAGTGATATTTTCAAGAGGAAAAAATTAATCACAAGTTGTCAACAGATCCAATGTGTGATGTAATATCATATTATAAACTTACAAGCAGTAACTGCGAACATTGTCACTTAATCTCTGGACGCCCCCTGGACTACAACCCCTGGAGGCCCACCAGCTGGCAGAGGCCCCTGGACTACAGCCCCTGGAGGCCCTCCAACTGGTAGAGGCTTCTTGGTTATCAGCCTCCTGGTGGCCAACCAGCTGCAGGAGGCCCCTGGACTACAGCCCCTGGAGGCCCTCAGTCTGGTAGAGGACTCTGGGTTACTCCCCTGGTTGCCCCACCAGCTGGCAGAGGCCCCTGGACTACAACCCCTGGAGGCCCACCAGCTGGTAGAGGCCTCTGGGTTACAGCCCCTGGATTCCCCTGGGCTACAGCCCCTGGAGGCCCTCCAGCTGGTAGAGGACCCTTGGCTGCAGCCTCTAAAACCCATGCCTTTATCTGGCCCTACCTCCAGTGAGGATGTATTCAGTACAGTCAGTCTTTCATTTTCATGGCTCTGGTATCAGTTTTGTTGCATATATTTGGACATTTTCCCTTTATCTGTGTATTTCTTAAGGTGGGAACTTTTTCAGTATTACATATATTGTGTATGAATTATTGAGCACATGTATTGTGGACAAAGACACAGTATAAAGAATAAGCCTTTATATCGTGAGTTCTTAACCAGTAGTTCGTGGACTGGTAAGGGATCCACGGAAAGGCTTCACACCTTCAGTTAACCTTCAGAACAAGGCTTCACACCTTCAGTTAACCTTCAGAACAAGGCTTCACACCTTCAGTTAACCTTCAGAACAAGGCTTCACACCTTCAGTTAACCTTCAGAACAAGGCTTCACACCTTCAGTTAACCTTCAGAACAAGGTTCCCACACCTCTCAGTTATCACTCCTCGAAACAAGGATTCCCACCTCTCAGTTAACTTTACAGACCACAAGGCTTCACACTTCATTAACTTCAGCAACAAGGCTCAACCTTCAGTTAACCTTCCAGAACAAGGTTCACACCTTCAGTTTAACCTTCGAACAAGGCTTCACACCTATCAGTTACCCCTTCAGAAACAAGGCTTCCACACTTCAGTTACCCTTAGAACAAGGCTTCACACCCTCATTTATCCTTCTGACCCTTAAGGGCTCCCCATCTTCGAACCTTGCGGAATAACTTGCACTTTCTCTCACGAGTTCCTTCATGTATTTTGATTTGTGTGTGCGGTTGGATGTTTGTGATTTGTTTCTCTATTTATCTCGCTATCGAGAACAACATCTCGCGCGCTCGCGCGCGCGTATTTCTCATGAAAGTGCGTTGGAATTCACTATTTTTTCACGTGGTTGTTTCTGCATATTTGTGATAACAGACTTTGTTTCACTGTGAACTTATTGCATTAGATTTATATACTTATTTATCTGCATTTTCTAGGGATAGAATCCAAAGCTTCCATCAGACTCTCAAAGAAATCTTTGACCCAAAATACAGTTAAGAACTCTTGATATATGTGGACAAGTTTTACTCCAGTCTGTTTAATTTTCATTTGACTGGCCTCTACCGAGAGTAAAATGAAAAAAATGCGTGAAAAAACGTACGCCTTGTCAGTGTTATGGCCTCCAAGGCGCACGTGTACTGTATTAAAAACAAAAACACCTTTATTTTTTTCTGCAGTATACTAAATGTAGTTTACATGTACAGATACAACATTGATTTTCTGGAAACTGATGGTCCAGATCCACACAAATTTATGAGCAGGAACTTGAAATTTCCCGCAGCAGTGTATTTACCGCACAAATTGTTTGTCTCTTTTGTCCAACCCACATGGACTAAGGAATTACTGCACTCTCTAATGTGGAAAAACAGTAATCCGGAAAGGCTTTGAACCAAAGGTTCTGGGAAAGAAATCGATGTACCTGCCAATAAAAATTGTTAGCATTAAAAAGGCAACTAGCATTTGGTGCATTTGGCAACCCTCATAACTGCATCAACATGGATTTGGAGATTAAGAAAGCAGAAGCCAGATGTCTTGTTTCTCGCATTAAATACAGTGGTCCCCCGCCATAACGCACAATTTACCTCCGAATGCCGACCAATTATGTAAGTGTTTTTATGTAGTGCATTTGTAACGTAGTATGTTGGGGGTCTGAAATGGACTTTTCTAACTTCACAATATTTCTTTCATATGGGAACAAATTCGGTCAGTACATGGCACCTGAAACAGAATTCTGGACGTGAGAAAAAATATCATAATAAAGTTGTGAGTAGAATTACAGACAATTGTAAAGTAAAACGGACACAAGCTGCAAACTAATGTGACATTTATTGTGGCAACGTTTCGCCCCTCTCCAGGAGCTTTTATCAAGACACTTCGAAATGGCTTGATAAAGCTCCTGGAGAGCGAAACGTTGCCACAATAAATGTCACATTAGTTGCACTTGTGTCCTTTTACTGAAAAAACATCGTTAACCGGGGGTCCACTGTATAGGTAAGGAATTTTTGCTGCTTTTATTGTTTTACATAAGGCATTTGATAGGATGGATATGCAAGGAACATGAAAGACGTTGTAAACACTGGACTTCTGAATGGAGTAAAGAGTTTTTATGGTGATAGTGAGGCTCCAATTAGGGTGTGTAGGAAAGAAGGGGATTATTTTCCAGAAAAGTAAGCAGGCGTACATACTCTTCTGGGAGTTTTCTTTTATGCCTAAATTTCATCATATACTGGGGTACAAGGTTGCTGGAATTTTTTTATTAACATTATCTCTGATATGTACTTCATTCTTTAATTGCAAATCACATCTTATTTACTTATTCAGGTCGAAATAGGCGAGGAGTGCTACAGCGACAGCATGGCATCACTCGTGATGCAGGTGGAGAAGAGAGGAGAGAAGATAACCGAGACTCATCACACCAACAACAAATACAGTCTCAACACAAAATACACCTCGACGGAGACGGAGAAAAAATTACCGAACTGATTGTGCCAGATACGATGGTGTTGGGTGGTGGGTCAGTCACACTAACTAACACCCAGCCAACACTTCTTCAAGTGCCAACTATGGTGGTGGTGCCCAGAGATACACTGGGCCCAGGACCATTGCCTAAGCAGCATTCACACCCTACACCTTTGTTGGCACCAACGCCAATCAGTAAGCAACTGTCTCATCCAGAGGGCCGGGGTCCTTCCACTCATCAAGGGCCTCAACCCATAATAAAGCAACGATCACACCCAAGCGTTTTAACACACACTCCGCCACATTCTAGTTTAGAGCGTATTGCAAGCACCACCAACTTCACCACCACTACCACCACCACAGGAGCTCAACAGCATTTACAGGTAATTCCAATGCAAGTCTTTATGAAACAGCGACCTTCACCTACTGCTATAACATCACAGCCATCACAGCTTCGACCGATCCAACCTAAACCCTCCACCGGTGAAGGTCAAACGACTTCAGATTCCACCCCTAAGAAAGAAGTACCTATAATCCGTCTGACACCCTCGGAAGATGGCGGTGTTAATCTTAGTAGCAGTAGTGGTTATAGCATGAGCGGCTGTGGCATCACTGGTCCCCCACGACTACCCCCTCGTGCAGTAAGCGAGGAACCAGCTATGACACGACCGTCAATGACACACACTCCTGAGCTACTTTCGCCTGGGCCGTCTGTTCTAGTGCAGAGTGTATCGCAAGATTCGGGTTTGGATGTTGGTATGGGAAGTCGAATGTTAAGTGCTCCTTCATTATCAGTGACAGCTCCTGCACCAGACAGATCGGCATCTTCTCCTGGTCACTGTCCCGTCCTTCGTGGCGGCCCAGCTCTGGGCTGCAACTTCTGTTGGAACTCTACTGACCCCCAAGGCAGAGTACTCCGTCGCAAGACAAAATATCACTGTCCAGAATGCCGAACAAACCTGTGTATTGTACCGTGCTTTCACGAGTACCACAAACAGATAGAGAGAGCACAAGACACTGATAAACAGATAACCAAAATCCTTACAAAAACTGGATCTATGTAGGTTAAATATTAAAGTGGACTGAGGAAACTCTAAATGGCAGAAAAGATTTTTAAAAAAGTGTATTGCCGGAGTAGTAAATTAGACCAAGAAATGTGGTAGATACCAGTGTCAACTTCTGCTTCATGCAGCGATCTATGTGCTCACCTATTGATGTACAGTAGTTTGGAACACTAGGTCACTTGATTTACACATTAAACTGTGGTGTCTAGTGCTTTCACTAATAACTGCAAATTAGTACTGTACCTGTCAGACAAAAGTCTCTTTACCAATTTTGACTGTAATATCTTCAAAATATATATTGTGATTTATCTGACTTAACACCAGTGACTAAAGAATTTTATTCCCATGGGTAAACATGTATATTTAGTTATGTATTATAAAAGATATTTAATGATGCTCTGCTGGAACGTTTGTGTTAATTATTTTATGGTAAAGTAAATGTCTTGCAAAACTATCTTTTCTTAAACCTAAAACAAAATCTAAACCAAGATCTTTTCTTAAACCTAAAACAAAATCTAAACCAAGATCTTTTCTTAAACCTAAAACAAAATCTAAACCAAGATCTTTTCTTAAACCTAAAACAAAATCTAAACCAAGATCTAACCATTTATCCAGGTCGAGGGTGGAATTGACTCCAAGACTGATACACAGTGCTGGTCGCACCATGTATCATAGTGTAAATTTGTATAATTGTACAATACCTGGGAAATGGGAGGTAATCAAGATTGATCGGGGAAAGGTAAGGGTGGCTCTGATTCCTTAGATCAAAAGCCCTTACCAGTGTCAAGGTACTCATCTTTGAAGAGAATAATGGTATAGTAAAATGATGATTATTTCAATTCAAAATGAGATTTATCTCTGATTAAATTATCGTTGAGTATTACACTCAAAGAATACACATTGTAAATCAGTAAGTACAGTGGACCCCCGGTTTACGATATTATTTCATTCCAGAAGTATGTTCAGGTGCCAGTACTGAACGAATTTGTTCCCATAAGGAATATTGTGAATTAGATTAGTCCATTTCAAACCCCAAAACATACACGTACAAACTCACTTGCATAAATACACTTACATAATTGGTCGCATTGGGAGGTGATCGTAAACCGGGGGTCCACTGTAGATCTAACAGCAAACTCTCGATTTAGTGAAGTAAGAGTGGGTAGCGGGCGGCTGGTAATGGTGGTAAAGATCAACTTGTTTTGCTGTCATGGTAACAATAACAGTTCTGTAGCCATCAAACTTAGTCTGTTGTTTCTGAATCAACTGATCCAGCAGATACTGTTCTGTATTACTTGAATCTATTAAACTGATGGTTTATTGCAAGTTATAAGTTCTTCTTTAGGCCTCATATATAATTTAAATCTTTTTACAGTGGTTTTATATAATAAATTATGTAAAGTGAACCTGGGATAACTCAGTAAAGTGATCTTAATACTTAGGAATTCTTCGCTTGCCTAATTCTTGGGCACGACCTACTTCCACATTGAACAAATGTGACACCACCTATGACTGCTGCACCTCTCCTGCCATACGGTTTATAAGCTGCTTCTCCGCTCATATGCCGTATTCTACTCAAGATTGATGGACTGACCACATCGACTCAAGGTTGAGGGACTGATTACCTCATTCTCCTCCTGTTCTTCAAGTTTCTCCTACGTATGGACTGATGAAGTCACTGTGTGGCGAAACGTTCCCTCAATAAAGATACCCAAGAGTTGCACATGTGTCTAATTTATCAACATGTCGGTTCTCTGAACCATTCATCTACAAAGTGAAATAAAGTGACTTATTTCTACTGTACCACACATACAACTGAGACACTATGAACGACATTGAGTTGCACTAACAAGCAATATTTTGGCGCCAGTTTTCTCAAGTCTACTTGTTAAGGGAGAAAATCTTCCTTGACGCTACTGAATACCAGTACAAATAATTTTTTTTCTACAGTATACAGGTCATGTAGTTTACTTGTAAAATATTGTCAGGCATATAAGAAAGCCATTATCATGTTGTGCATCTTGTGTAGACTAATACTAATGCTTAAAAATTACTAGACCTATACAGGGTGTTTCAGAGAGATGGACCCAGTTCAAAGCAGTTTGCTTTGAAATTGGATCCATCATTTTGAAACACCTTGTATTATTTAAGATCCCTGAAGGGATCCTCAGCTGAAGAATTGGAATTAAAAATCTTTATTTCCTTTCATATACACATAGAAACTGCAGTAGATAAGTTTGCAGTTTGTTTATTTACAGTTTTTGATACCAATACAGTTCGATGCAGTTACAATTGTATATTTGAAAGAAACCAACTTGGTATGCAAAGGATTTTGGTCAAACTAAGCTGCACTCATCTTCCATGGCTCAAACCTGATTATTGCCTGTTCTACCAGTGTTCTGTGGCTCGTGTGGATAATTTCTCTTGCAGTCAGAGGGTTATTAGGGCCAGCACCGTTCTGGTTCATGTAAACAGCCTACCAGATGGTAATGAGTTGGATGTATTTCTGCTGATGTAAAACTAATGACGGGAACACAAACAAGTGATGACAGGGAAAGGCTGCAGGGTTGGTCAGGGGAGTGGCTGCTTGAATTCAACCCCAGTACATGCAAGGCTATGAAGTGTGGGGCCAGAAGACCAGAGTCAGAGTATAGATCCAGGGAACAGTGGCTATAGATTTCATTCAGAAAGAAGGACCTGGGAGTATGCATAGTGCCTAGCATATCACCAGTGGCTCACATCAACTCAATAACTTCTACAGCCAGTACTCACCTGGCAAATCTGAGAGTGGCCTTCAGGCATCTCAACAGCCATTCTTTACACTTCGTACAATATATGTCAAACCCATTCTTGGAGTACACAGCACCAGTATGGAACCCACACCTGAGGAAGCATGTCAAAAAATCAGAGAAAGTGCAGAAGTATGCATCGAGATTAGTTCTATAGCTAAGGGGTATGAGCTACGAAGAAAGGCTAAAGGAATGGATTTAATGACCCTGGAGGACAGGACCTGGGCAGACATGACAACATAAAAGATACTACCCAGAAGAATTCCTAAGGCAGACAGGGACAGGCTGTTTGAGAGGTGAGAAACTTACTGTACTCAGGGACACAGCTGGAAATTAAAAATACAGATGAGTCACAGGTACAGTAAAAGTCCAATAATGTGTACTAATGGGGGAGGGAGTGTCCAGTTTACTGAAAATTCCGTTATATTGACCATTTCAATTAAGCAGCCATTAGTACATTTTATTGGATGTAGTCTGCTTAATCAGCCGACTACTGAACGTGGACAAGCATTCAGTAAAACAGACTTAGTCTGCTGAATTGATAATATGACTAGATATACAAATAAGAAACTAATGTAGCATTTCTTTGATATTTCTCTCCTTCTTCCTCCCTCTCCTGCTCTTTCTCTCCCTGGCTGGCAGACTGACTGGCTAGCTGGTTGCTTAGCTGGATGGCTAGCTGGCTGGCTAATTGGCTGACTGATTGATTGGCCAGCTGCTTGACTGGTCAGCCAACAAACCAACCACTTGTTTGCTCTACCTGCCCTGTCTGTGCTTCTCGTAAACCATTACAGGTACCATCCGACTTATGACTGAGCTTGGTTCTGACCAACCGGTCATAAGTCAAGATGGACGTAATTATTATTATTGTCAAAAAGAAGTGCTAAGCCACAAGGGCTATACAGCGAAGAAGGACGTAAGTCGAACCTTACTACTGAATATCAACAAAACATTTTTGTAATGACTTTATTTTATTGTTTTATTTTGGTATTTCATGTTTTACTTTACTTTTTATGTTGTTAGTACTGTATTTTATACTGTAAGGTTTAGGATAAACACTGTGTGCAACACAAATAGTTGTTTATTTCTCAGAAATTTGGCATACAAAACACGGTCGTAAGTCGAGTGGTCGTATGTCGAGCAGGTCGTAAGTTGGATGGTAGGTGTATTTGGTTTCTGGCAACATAATTTCCAGTTAGATATGAGGCTTGTCTCTATCAACACACTGCAAATGGATAAGCCCTGGATGAAGCCTGGACCATACATACTTGTGATTAAATGAAGTTGGTCTGTTTTATTGAGTATATGACTGGATCAGACTGTCATTCAGTATTGCAGATTTGGTTTGTTTCAATGCTATTTTAATCAGACATTCCATTGAATTTACATGAGCTTTTTTCAGGCCAAACTATTTATTCATTTTATCTGACATCCCCTGTAAGGGGTCCATTTTATCGTACTTTTATATTTTTTATTATTATTATCACACTGGCCGATTCCCACCAAGGCAGGGTGGCCCGAAAAAGAAAAACTTTCACCATTATTCACTCCATCACTGTCTTGCCAGAAGGGTGCTTTACACTACAGTTTTTAAACTGCAACATTAACACCCCTCCTTCAGAGTGCAGGCACTGTACTTCCCATCTCCAGGACTCAAGTCCGGCCTGCCGGTTTCCCTGAACCCCTTCATAAATGTTACTTTGCTCACACTCCAACAGCACGTCAAGTATTAAAAACCATTTGTCTCCATTCACTCCTATCAAACACGCTCACGCATGCCTGCTGGAAGTCCAAGCCCCTCGCACACAAAACCTCCTTTACCCCCTCTCTCCAACCTTTCCTAGGCCGACCCCTACCCCGCCTTCCTTCCACTACAGACTGATACACTCTTGAAGTCACTCTGTTTCGCTACATTCTCTCTACATGTCCGAACCACCTCAACAACCCTTCCTCAGCCCTCTGGACAACAGTTTTGGTAATCCCGTACCTCCTCCTAACTTCCAAACTACGAATTCTCTGCATTATACTCACACCACACATTGCCCTCAGACATGACATCTCCACTGCCTCCAGCCTTCTCCTCACTGCAACATTCATCACCCATGCTTCACACCCATATAAGAGCGTTGGTAAAACTATACTCTCATACATTCCCCTCTTTGCCTCCAAGGACAAAGTTCTTTGTCTCCACAGACTCCTAAGTGCACCACTCACCCTTTTCCCCTCATCAATTCTATGATTCACCTCATCTTTCATAGACCCATCCGCTGACACGTCACTCCCAAATATCTGAATACATTCACCTCCTCCATACTCTCTCCCTCCAATCTGATATCCAATCTTTCATCACCTAATCTTTTTGTTATCCTCATAACCTTACTCTTTCCTGTATTCACTTTTAATTTTCTTCTTTTGCACACCCTACCAAATTCATCCACCAATCTCTGCAACTTCTCTTCAGAATCTCCCAAGAGCACAGTGTCATCAGCAAAGAGCAACTGTGACAACTCCCACTTTATGTGTGATTATCTTTTAACTCCACGCCTCTTGCCAAGACCCTCGCATTTACTTCTCTTACAACCCCATCTATAAATATATTAAACAATCACAGTGACATCACACATCCTTGTCTAAGGCCTACTTTTACTGGGAAATAATTTTC